ACACGCACACACGCACACACGCACACACGCACACACGCACACACGCACACACGCGCACACGCGCACACGCACACACACACAACCCCCCCCCAACCTTGCCCAACCCCCCACCCCCCACCCACCCAGCCACCCAACCACCCAGCCACCCGGCCACCCACCCCCCCACTTCCCACCCCACCACCCCCCAACCCCTGCCCCCCCCCACCCCCATCCTTAGTTCTTATGATTAAACACCTCCAAACCTCCACTTGGCCGGCCGATCGCAATCCCTTTGTCCTGATTGTCATCGCAATCCCTTTGTCCTGATTGTCAAAAACAAATACAAACTCAAATGTTTAGTGTTATGTTCTCGCCGGCATGTCGTCGAATTGCAAAAGTGTAGCAGGACTATAACGGAATGAACATCGCTGGGGTAACCCTAAGCGGGCTGTCGCGCCCCACTTTGTTTTAATCAACAAGAAAACATTACAGAGTCAACGTTTTTCTCGACAGCATGGACCTTCTTGTCGTCGACGCTGCGAAACATGTAACACGGCTGGGACGGAATGAACATCGTTTGGGTGAACCTAAGCGGGTGGTCGCGTCCTACTTATCAAAACAATACAATCTCAACGTTCTCCTCGACAACATGGACTGTCTTGTCGTCGGCGCTGCGAACAGTGCAGCAATTAGGAGGCGCGGCGCACATCGCGCGCGGACGCCTGGCCAACCCTACTCGGGACCCCCCGTCCGACCTGCAAAAAAGCCCCGCAACGTCGACGTTGTTCTTGCCAACGTGTGTTTTTTTCCCAGTCGGCGCTGCGAATCGCGAAGCGTGAATGGGAAACCCCGCGAATTCCCAAGAATCACTCTCCTCTTCCTCATCAGTTTCTCCCTCACTCTCTCCCTCCCTCCCCTCCTCCTCCTCCTCCTCCTCCTCCTCCTCCTCCTCCACCTCCTCCCCCTCGTCCATGCGCGGCAGAGGCGGAACGATTGGCGGTGCAACGTGCGTGGCTGGAATGAAACGTGGCGCACTTCGCGCCACGTTTCATGTTGTCGCCGACGATGCAACATGAGAGGCCGGAGCGGGGCGCGGCGTACATCGCGCGCGGTTTTGTTTCTCGTCGACGTCGCTCAGTACGCGGCAGGCGCGCTGGACGTCTAGTCGCCCGCGATAGAAGATGAGCGACAGGCGTCGGACGCGACGCACTTGCTTCTTATGTTGTGGGAAGGCGGGTGGGAGTGGACGGATCCCTCTGGCTCGTTCGAACTGGCTAACTTGACCCCCGCCCCCACCCCACCCTTATTTCTTAGGGTTAAACGCCCCTCGTCCCCGCATAGCCGGCCGATGGCAAAACCCGCCGTCCTAACGTTTTTTAATTTAAAAAATACAAACTCAACTCTTGTCTCGCCAGCGTGTCGTCGAGTTGCTAAAAGTGTAGCAAGAAATGGGCGGCATGAACATCGCTTGGGTCACCCTAAACGGGTGGTCGCGTCGTACCCATCCAAAAACAATACCGAATCAACGTTTTTCTCGACAACATGGACTGTCTTGTCGTCGGCGCTGCGAAAAATGCAACAAGAATGGGACGCGGCGAGCATCGCGCGCGGACGCCTGGCCAACCCTACGCGGGACCCCTCGTCCTACCTGTCCAAAAAACTCCGCAACGTCAGCGTTTTTTTTGCCAACATGTACTTTCCCCTCGTCGGCGCTGCGAATCTCGCAGCGGGAATTGGGCGCGGCGCGCATCGCGCGGGGGCGCCTGCTAGTCAACATGGACCTTTTTGTCGTCGACGCTGCGGCCCGTCGGGTTGAAGAGGTGGGCGGGCGGCAAGTCAGAATGCATCAAGCAAATGCGGTTCAAGCAAGTGCCTCAGGATACCCCCAAGAGGTCGAAAAAAAGGCGCCCAGGAGGTCCTGGGGGGCAACACAAATATTGATTTTCATTTGGTGTTTGAGAGATTGTGAGATTAGCACCTACTTGTGTTGACCGTGTTCCAACCCGGAAGATGTATCCAAGAGGCCCTCAGGCGTATACCAGAAAGCTCCTAGGACGCCCCGCGAATTCCCAAGAGGCATTCTCCTCTGCCTCTTCAGTTTCTCCCGCCCTCCCTCTCTCCCTCCCCTCCTCCTCCTCCTCCTCCTCCCCCTCCTCCTCCCCTTCCTCCATGCGCGGCAGAGGCGAAACGATTGGCGGTGCGACACGCGGCACACTTCGCGCGTTGGACATGTTGTCGCCGACGATGCAACATAAGAGGCCGGAGCGGGGCGCAGCGTACATAGCGCGCGGTTTTGTTTCTCGTCGACGTTGCTCAATACGCGGCAGGAAAAGGACGCAGCTCATGTCGCGAGCTGAACGTCTAGCCGCCCACGATATAAGATGAGCGACAGGCGTCGGACGCGACACACTTGCTTCTTATGTTGTGGGAGGCCGGGTGGGAGTGGACGGAGACAACTGGTTCGCTCGAGCTGGCTAACTTGACGCCCCCACACACACAGACACACACACACACACACGCACGCACCTACATACGCACGCACGCACGCACGCACGCACGCACGCACACACCACACACACACACACACACGCACGCACGCACGCACACGCACACACGCACACACGCACACACACACACACGCACGCACACGCACACGCACACACCACACACACACACACACGCACGCACACGCACACACAGACACACGCAAACACACACACACACGCACACACACACGCACACGCACACACAGACACAGACACAGCCACAGCCACAGCCACAGACACAGACACAGACACTGACAGAGACACAGACACATACACAGACGCAGACGCACACAGACGCAGACACAGACACAGACACACACACAGACACACTCGCACACATAGACACACACAAACACACACCCACACACAACCCACACACCACCCACACACACACACCCACACACGCACGCACGCACGCACGCACGCACACAACACACACCACCACCGCCATACAACACGCACGCCACGCACACACACACACACACACGCACAAACGCCCACACAACACACACACACACACACACGCACGCATTCGCACACGCACACGCACACACCACACACATGCACGCACACGCACACACACGCACACACACGCACACGCACACACAGACACAGACACAGACACAGACACAGACACAGACACAGACACAGACACAGACACAGACGCAGACGCAGACGCAGACGCAGACGCAGACGCAGACGCACACAGACACAGTCACAGTCACAGACACAGGCACAGACACACACACACAGACACACACAAACACACACCCACACACAACCCACACACCACCCACACACCCACACACCCACACACGCACGCACGAACGCACACACGCACGCACACACACGCACACTCACACACAGACACAGACACAGACACGCACACGCACAGACACAGACGCAGACGCAGACGCAGACGCACACAGACACAGTCACAGTCACAGACACACACACACACAAACACACACCCCCACACACCACCCACACACCACCCACACACACACACACGCACGCACGCACGCACGCACGCACGAACGCATGCACACACACACACACCACCAATACACACACACACACACACGCACGCAAGCGCACGCACACGCACACACCACACACACACACATACGCACGCACACGCACACGCACAACCACACACACACACGCACGCACGCACACGCACACGCACGCACACACACGCACACACACACGCACACACACACACACACACACACGCACACGCACACACAGCCACCTACACAGACACAGACAGAGACACAGACACAGACACAGACACGGACACAGACACAGACGCAGACGCAGACGCACACAGACACTGTCACAGTCACAGTCACAGACACACACGAACACACCCACACACAAACACACCCACACACACCACCCACACACACACACACACGCACACGCACACACGCACGCACGCACGCACGCACGCACACCCACACCCACACCCACACCCACCCACACATAGACACACACAGACACACCGCCGACGATTTGCCCCCTGAGCCGCTTCCTCGGAGGAAGGGATGAAACATCGGCGACCCTCCCGAATGAAGGAATCCTCCTGTGATCCTCGTCCTGCCTCCTCTCCACCCGCGTCCTCCCTGCCTCGGCAGGGCCGCCAGGAGGGAGCGGGTGGCGGGCGAGAGAAGAGGAGGGGGCATCCTCATCCCCCCCCCTCCTGCTCTGGGCATGGATGTGCAATCACTTTCGCACCCTGCATTTCCTGCCGGCGCTAGGGCAGCGGACCCCCCCACGGGGCTGCATATGCCTGCAATCATCCTTCAACTTCTGCTTCCCCCCCGCGGGTTTCGAACATCTTACCTGTATGGTAGGGAGTGCACGTGGCTTCCGAATGCAGAGGAGTCCTGGTCAAAACGGGTCCTGGGCCCAAGCGTTTCCTTTGGACTGGCTTGGCTGTTCATCCCGAGTTGTTGTTTCCCCAGTGATGATTTGTCTACGGGGGTCTTAATTGTTGGTGGAGGAGGAAGAGGAGGAGGAGGAGGAGGAGGAGGAGGAGGAGGAGGAGGAGGAGGAAGGAAGGACAAAGAGGAGATGGGGATGGAGAGGAGCGGAGGATGAGGAGGAGGCAGGAGGAGGGGAGGTAGGAGAAGGAGGAGGAGGAGGAGCGAGGAGAGGGGGGAAGGAAGGAGAGGAGGGGAGGCGGAGGGAGGAGCCCGCCGGGCCTCTTGTCTAACGCTCACATCCCCATAGTAGGCTTTCACTAACAATGTCATATTCGTTTGTCCAGAAGGTCTGGAGTGCTTCGTCAGAGGCGGCGCTCGGCGTTAGCGTTGCTCGGCTCCCTTATCTTGGGTTTCCTCAGGCGTTCCTCGGGTATTGTATTCCTCGGGGGCCATCCTCGCATGGAATTCCCGCGTGGGGTCATCGTCGGCGCCCCTCTTAGCCCACACCTGCTGCGCAGCAAAATGCCTAACCCGCCAAAGCACCCAAACACCACCAACCAACAAAGCACCACGGATTCAACGCCGAAGCAAAGAGCAGCAACGCCAAGCAATGCAACGTAATGCGAAGCAATGCTAGGCAATGCCAGCAATCCCAAGCAACGCCAAGCAATACCAGGCAATGCAAAGAGATGCTCAGTAAGGCAAGGCAATGCCAGGCAGTACTGATCATTGCCAAGCAACGGTTCCAAGCAATGCTAAGCAATGCCAACCAATGCTTTGCATAGCATTGCTTCGCATTGCTCCGATCTGCTGGGAACTGCCCTGGGAAGAGAAACTCCCACAAGGTGTCGCGCTGGGTTCGTTGATGCTCCTGGGGCCCAGGAAAGTCCCGGGAAGCCCGAGAACGGCTCAAAAACCCACAGGACCACCGTCCTCGAAGACCCACTTCATTCATGCTGACCTTGCCCCCCTCCTCCCCCTCCTCGTCCTCCTCCTCCTCCTCCTTATGACGCTGCGTTCGCGCTGAAACGATGCTACCTCGTCGCGTCCTGCTGGCGACACCAGCCCAGCGCCGCGCGCCCGCGGCCCGCTCAGAGGTGGAGCGGGGGCAGCACTCCCCACCTTCACCTGCCATCCCCCATCTGCTCACCTCCTCCTCCTCCTCCTCCTCCTCCTCCTCCCCCGCTTTGCCTCGTTCCTCTTCCTCCTCCTCCTCCTCCTCCCTCCCCCCTTTTGCCTCCTTTTCCTCCTCCTCCACACCCCTCCACCACAGATAACTCCTCCCTTCCTCACAGACTGCTCGGTGGGGCGGGCCAGGCGTTACGCCTGAGACTTCCTCACCGCTTCTGACCCCTGAAGCTTACAAGGTGCAGCAAATTCACGAATGGAACGCGAGTGGTTTTGAACATGTCTGAGTCTTAATGATCTGTAGCAGAAATTTCACGGATGGAGGGCGGAGGGTTATCAAAAAAAAGGCTATCGCCTCAACGCCGCGCGTAGTCGTCTTACAAGTTTGCAAGAATTTTACGGATGGATGGCGGGCGGTTTTCAAAATGTGGGTCTCGCCCCAGCGCCGCACCATACGTCTTAACGTTTGCAAGAGTCTCACGGTTGGATGGCGGTTCCTTTCAAAATGTTGTTCTCGTCATATCGCTGCGCACATTCGTCTTAACACTGCACAGCAATTTCAAATAATCTAAGGCTGACGTCCCAGAAATGATGTTCTAGAACGATTTCGGATTGTCAGGACGCGACAGTCACGCTGATTTGTTGTGTAAGTAAGTCTCAGGAATTCTATTCTGGACCGATTCTGGATCGTCAGGAGCTCGAACATTGATTCGCGGCGTTGAAATGCCAAGAATGGTTGCTGACATGGTTGAGGATTTTCAGACGGTTGTCTTCTAGCAGAGCGCTTCCCGCAGTGAAAATACATCCTTGTGGGGACCTATGAAGAGGGAACTTGGAGGGAGGGTGTATTGCAACATCGTAGAGTTTTGGGTTTGTACTGGTCCTCCTCCTTCTTCTCCTCCCCCTCACCCTCCGCTTCCTCCTCTTCCAACTCCCCCTCCTCCTCCTCGTCCTCCTCTTCTCCCTTCTCCACCCCATCCTCTTCCTGCCCATGCTCCTCCCTCATCGTCTCTCCCACTCCTTCCTGCCACCTCATCATCCCGGCCACCTCTTCCTCCCGCCCCCCTCCCCTCGCAAGCCGGGCCGCTCGTCCTGGCTCCTCATCATCCGCATCCCCCCGGCAGCCTGCACCAGCACGCCCTGCCCGGCTCGTCTGGGTGCCTGCCGCGGCCGTGCCGGGGATGCGACCAGCCGGGCCGAGAGGGTGGAGGAGAAAAAAAGGAGGCTTGGAAATGGGCACCAACACCAAGACAGAGGGGCTGCCTGCACAGGGAAAGAATGATCCTAGATTTTGGTGCCGGTTGCAATCTTCCGACCACCAACGAAACCCGAGTATTACCACCATCGCCGAGATCGGAGAGAGCGTGATCCACCGCCGCTTTACTGTGGAAAATTGCCAACCTTTTCCTCCGGAACCCGGGGGTCTGTCCTCTTCTCCCCCCACCCCCCCCCCCCCCCCCCCCCCCCCCCCCCCCCCCCCCTCCGAAAAATCCCCCCCCCCCTGCTGGTGGAACCCTCCCCCCCCCCCCCCCCCCCCCCCCCCCCCCCCCCCCCCCCCCCCCCCCCCCTCCTCCCCCCCCCCCCCCCCCCCCCCCTCCCCCCCCCCACCCCCCACCCCCCCCTCCCCCCCCCCCCCAGCTCCCCGGCAAAAAACCCCCCCCCCCCCCTCCCCCCCCCCCCCCTCCCCTAAACCCTCCCCCCCCCACACCCCCCCCTCCCCTTCGAAAAACCGGGGGGGTTCACTACGAGTTCGAGCCCCTCCCCCCCCCCTACCCTCCGGATCCGGAAAACTGGTGGGGGCCACTACCGGTTCGCACCCCCCCTTCCCCTTTCCCCCCCCCCCCCCTACTCACCGCCAGCAAACGACTCCCGGTCCCCACCACCGTCCGCATCACATCCCCCACTGGTGTTCCCAGCACCACTGTCCTCACCACCACTGTCCCCACTGGTTCCACCACCGTCCCTATTGTCCCCACCAGTGCCCCCACCACTGTCGCACTGTCCCCACTGTTCCCGCAACTGTTCCCACCACGGTTCCACTCTCCCCACTGACTCCTCCGCTGTCCCACTGAGCTGTCCCACTGTTCCCACCACTGTCCCCACTGTCCCCACCACTGTCCCCACTGCACCTCTGTCTCATTTTGTCCCACCGCCGTCCTCGCCACCGCCTTTACCAGTGTCCCCACCACCATTGTACCCTCCACTGTCCCAGTGTTTCCACCTCATTCCCACTGTCCCCACACCACTGTCCCCACCACCACCGTTCCCACCACTGTCCACTGTCCCCCCTGTTCCCACCATTGTCCCCACCACTGTCCCCACCACTACCGTCCCCACCACTGTCCCACTGTCCCCCCACTGTCCCCACCACTGTCCCGCTGTCCCCTCACCACTGTCCCCACCAACACCGTCCCCACCACTGTCCGCACCCCCACTCGGTTTTCGAGGGGGGGGGGGGGGTTCGAACCGGTAGTGACCCCCCCCCCTTTTCATGATGAGCTGGGGGGGGGGGGGGGGGGTTCGAACCGGTAGTGACCCCCCCCGGTTTTCCGGAGGGGGGGGGGGGGGGGGAGGGGTTCGAACCGGTAGTGACCCCCCCCCGGTTTTCCGCCAGCAGCGGTAGAACACGCTCTTTCCGAGATCGAGATCAACTTCTTTCGATGGAGGCACGCTGCCGATACTGGTGTTGGTGCCAAGCTCTAGGCCTCCGAATGAAGGAGAGTGGTCGGAAAAGCTGGCTGGAGAGGGGAAGAGGGGGAGAACGCGTAGCTCGAATTACTGAGCCGAACGCGAACACATTCATGAGCATGTGTCGAATCTGTTTTGAGCAACGGACAATCCAGAGGCAACCTTCGAGAAAGGCTTGAAACAACTAAGGAGGGAGGCAGGGTGGGAGGACGGAGGGGAAGGGCGAGAGAGGGGGAAGGAAATGGGGAAAGGAGGGGCCTGAAGCAAACGCCTGATGCTTTCGTCTGGCCGATGCCCCCCATCGAGCAAACAGCTTCCGATCACAAACGGGGCCGATCACGCTTACGACGTCTCAATGCCCTGCCGCTGGCGCTCCCGCAGGCGGCTTTGAAGAAAATATGTAAGAGAACGCGAAGAGAAAACCAACGAATATGAAACCGGCCAGGGGTAACGGGCGCACTGACGCGGGCGTCCAAGCTGAAATGGCGCCCTACTGAGTTCCTAGTGACATCCAGGCCGAACAAAGCTAATCTTGAACGTATATCCTCATGCCTCGTCCTCCTCCCCCCCCTCCTCATTTAGCATCCACCTTCCTCCCCAACTCCGATTCCCCTCCTCCTCGTCTTTCTCCTCCTCCTCCTTCTCCTACTCTTCGGCGTGCAACCTCTTTCTTTTACTCCCCATGCTCCATTTTCGCTCTCTACAATCACCCTTATGTTTCCTTTCCCCTCTGTCCGCATCCTCCTCTTCCTCCTCTTCCACATCCTCCCGCTCTCGTCGTCGTCCTCCCCCTCCTCCCCCAGGCCCCGCTCTTCCTTTCTGTGTATGGGGATTCGACCGAGGAGGCGATCCTATGCGGTAGCCCGCAGGTGGAGGTGATCGAGGAAGAGGGTCGGCAATCCTTTTCCCAGGGCGCCGCGCGGAGGGCAGCGCGGTGAGAGCGCCAATACCTGAACCGATATTAGCGGCATGGGATGATATAGTGGGGATGCGAGCGGACGTCACGCGCACCCCCCTTCCCAGATCCCGCCTGCCCCGCGCTGGTCTCGGGCCCGCGGGAGACAAAGGCGGGGCTCGGGAACCGAGATGCGGGGTCCACTCGCAACGCCGTCATATCAACCGCACCTCCAAACGAGGTCACATCGACTACGAAGGATACAAGGGGACCAACACCGCCACGCAGGGTACGTAGGGGTGTCTACCCGCCTTTAGCGGGCCCAGGGTGCGCCCCCCAAAAAAACGCTTCGGCATTCTTGGACGATTCCCCGCCACCGCGGGTGACAAGGCTGGGCGACCAAAAGAAGGCACGTGGATAACACTACTGCATGCTATGATGCAGTTGTCTCCACCGGCGCACAGAGGCGTGAGCGCGAGGTGACGTAAATCGAAATGCGATGGATCAGAATGGTGGCGACAAGTGGATCAATACAAAAAAGAAATCTCTCATTCACGGGGCACTCCAGGCCCAGAGTTATCATCGGAACGCTCCACGCCCCAAATACACCTAATATTGCGATCGAAATTGTGATGACAACTGAGCAACTAGATGGCGTAACGTGCGTAGTGTGCAGTGTGCAGGCCTTAAAAGGCATGCGATGATTGCCACAAGCGTTCAAACCTGTGATGTCGACATCAAAATAAACATCAGTGGGATAATGCCGTGCGTAGGTCGCACTCTGACGAATTCTCGTGGCAGAGAATGCACGGTCGCATTCAATGGCATTTTTGGCGGGCGACCTGCCTGGGTGCGTTGATGCCCTGAGTGCCAAACCGTAGTAAATGGCGTCGTATCCATGAACGTGTTGAATGGACAAAAGCGACGTGGAAAGCACAGAAACTCTCCAAATGGGCATGGCATCAGCGCCAAAGAAAAGGAATATACGAAACGATGCGCAATCCTGAAATTCAAACCAACAAAACACGTTTCGGTCACAGCGTGCGGGGTCCCAACTGTTTGCTACGAGTCTCAGACTGCCCAACGGCGTGAGTAGCAATATTAGCAATCCAAATAGTTGCACGATCGTTCTCGTCGATCTAGATCCACTCGTTCAGATAGCGCGACCAGCAGCGGCGCGCGCTGTCGCTGCAGCGCTCGGGCTTCGCAGCCCCGCCACTCCAGTCTGCGTCGCCAGGGGCAGGGCCGCCGGGGGACGCCGCGCCCGAGGAGGAGGCAGCGCCCGCGGCAGGCCCATCGCGGCGCGGCGGCGGAGAGGGCGACGGGGTAGGCCGGGGGCTGGCGACCGGAACAGTGCCCTCGCCGAAATCTTTCGCCCCCCGTTGAGGTCGCAGCAGTGCGATGCCTCGATCCGAGCTGCGCCAATGTCACGCGGTACTGGCCCGTTTCGCCGATCTGGGGGGCGCCCGCGCACATATTGCACATGTGCTCCTCGAAATTGGCGGGGATGTCGGTGCAAGCGTCCGTCTGAATTTCGGGCGCCACTGCCTGGGCCAACGTTTCAATCCGCTCGCAAGCGCTCCCACCGCGCTCAACTCACGACCGAGATCGCGGGCGGCCTGATCAGGGATCGCGCGAGCGCTGTCGGTGGCCAAATCGGCGGCAAGAGAGTCGCATCCCTGATCGGTCGTCTGACCGGGGAGATCGCCCGGCATCATGTCTCTGCGAGATAGGCGTGCTGAAGCGGTGTCAGGATGCTCGGCCGCGATCTGCCCGGTCTGCTCCACGAGGGCCGCCCCCTCCGCAGCCCTCTCGCCCCCCTGCGGGCTATCATCGCTGTCATCGCGGTGCGCTTCGACGATTTGCGCCTGGATGGGGCGGCAGCTGGCGCGGAGTTTCCCGGGCCAGACATGGGCCCCGAGTCGGAGGGCCCCTCGGCGTCAATCTCTGCGGATGGCGGATGGGCGCGGAGGATGATAGGCGTCAACCGCGGGTATAGATGCGTCGAGGCCTTGCGCGTGCTCGGGGCCGTCGCCCCGCCAATCCTACCACGACGGAAATGTTGATTGAGGATGTCCCTGGAGTGGCGCATCGGCCGCAATTGAGTCGGCCCGCAGCGTTCGCGCTGCGCAGTCTCGGATGGTTCGAGCTCCATGGGCAATGGCGCGAAGGATCTTGGACGACGCACGCGCGCAATCGGACGGAAGGGGCCGACGGGGGGGGTAGCGATGGCAAGCGACATGAGTAACAGGCCTGGCAGTCCTGGCGGTCTCCGCTGTCTTCTGTCTTCGGGCTGCGAATGGCGTAAGGCGCGGGGTCAATGGGCGGTCGCGGTCGGCCAGGTAGCGCTGCGTCGCGAGGTGGCGGCGCAGGCGCGGGCGCGCCCGCCAGCGCTAAATCGCCGGGCGCCAGATCGTTCACAAGGGGCGCAGGTGCCGGCGTGCCCACCGGCGCAAAATCACCAAGCGTCAGATCGCTCACAAGGGGCGCAGATGCAGGTGTGCCCACTGGCGAAATGGCATTACCCACGCAACACTTACGCATGTGATGGCACGAATCATCATCTCCATCTCGGCGC